ACAAGATTAGAGAAGAGAGAAGAGAGCAAAAGAGGTGTATTCTTCAAGCTCCAAGAAGGTTGCACGAAAATGGCCATGAAGATGGAGCTTCTTCCTTCTTCTAGCTTAGCAATGGGTAACTAACTCTTTCTCTAGGGAGGTGATGAAGTCCCTCCCTTGTAAGCATGTCCTAGGGTAGTCTATATTGGGGGATTGCAATGTATATTTATGGTCTTTAAGAGCACTTCATTTGGTGTAATGAATGTTTATATATGTATGGATGATTTCTTCAAGCTCATTATCTTATGTTAGGTGATGTCTTGTATTAATCTTTTTGCTTGAGTTTACATGGTGAGAATGGAAACAAGGTTATGAAATGATTTAATGGCATGTTGATAGGTGACTTTGATAGACCATTGCTTAGGAAATCCTTTGATGGTGTATGCTTAATTTCTAGCTCTATGTGCTTCATCATTTTGTCAAGAATTTGATAGTCTTTCATTTAAGTAAACGTGTATAAGCTACACCTTAGTTAGGTAGTCTAAACATGTTTACCCTTTTGATGGATTATACTTGTTTGAGACCTAACGTACCTCTTGATTACTTACATGGCAACTATGTGTTGCTATGTAGTTCTTGACCATCATATGTTGTTTTTCCCCTAATTTAGGTCTAATCTAGCATGTGTATAGGGATGGAGGCGGATTCACTTCCTTAGTCTTCTTTACTCGTCTTTCATCTCTTAAATTCTAGTAAGTTTTTCATTAATGCATATTTCAATTCATAGTATAAGTGACAAACAATTAACAACTCTTTATTACACCTCATCATCCTAAGAATGATTCTAGACATTTAGGTTGCTTTAGACTAGCGCAGTCCCAGTGGTTCGACTTACCCGACCAATAGCCCTATTTTACAATGATTCATGCTATTGCGAAGGTTGACGTATAGTTGATCAACCGATCATATCACCATTGACACTTTGGCTACATCTTCTAGGTGCCCCCATGTCTGCCCTCCAGGACTTGATTATCCTGTTCTGAAGAGGTCTTCTGATGCAGACATGGCCGTTGCCCTTATTGGCCATTTTGCAGCTGGCGAGACTTTCGCACCAGGACTTATCTACCCGACGACCTATGGTTCTTCGATTCGATCTTGTACCGAAATGTATTTATGGCGGGGCATAAGATCCAGCGGCATTTTGACTTTCTTTCAGCCCTATATGCTTTCTACACCGGGTAGTGTTTCTCCATTCCGGCACTCTACTAGAGTGTCATGATGAAACTTTATACATACTACATTAGCAAGGCAAAGCCCAAACAGGCTAAGTATCTTCTATTTGCTCATCTCCTCATCTCCTTACACAGATTTTACAAGACCAACGCTACCCTTTCCACCCACAAGAGCGTTCTGAGTCCGGGGCTTGCCACTACGGCAAGAAGGACTGGAACAAGACTTACAATGCTCTTATCAAGAGCCTGGAGGAGGACATTATCCTAGCAGCAGAGGAGGCTGCAGAGGCTGAGGAGGCGAAAATAACAGCAGTAGCTGTAAACGATCTGGCAGACACACCAGCGGCTGTGATACATATGGAGATAGATCTGGAGCAGCAGCCTCCAGCACAGGAGCTACCACATCACTCTCCCATTAGGTCACCACTACATGTCCCGGAGCCTAGTTAGGATGAGCATCATTCTCCTGACCCAGTCATACCTGACGTTCCAGCACAGACACTCGGCCTAAGAGAGTGTATACAGACCTTGGAGGACGTCGTTGTCTCTCTTCGGTCTGATGTGGCCTCCCTTAGCATTGATGTGGCATCTCTCCGCTCAGATGTCATGGCTGCGCTGCGAGATATATCCAGAGATATCCGGGGATCACGCCCTGCTCGCTCAACCTCCTCTGCCTGATCTCTCTATCTCTCTACTTTCATTTATATATCTGTGATATTACTATTACTTTGCTGCTGTTTTGATATTTTTGCGGCCAGTCTGTTGGCCCAGACACTGTGATGTGCTATACATTATTTCTTTTTATGCATGATATTTTTGGATGTTTGGATTTTATATTGATATACCTATCTGTTATTGACTCCATTATCAAGTGCATCCCAGTGACTTCAGAGAGAGAGAGTGCTGCCCAAATTTTCCAAGACCACCCTTATTCCTCTTTCCGTAATTTATTTATTATCCCATTTACACTTGCATATCCATTGTGCACTGTTATGATCCCTTTAGTTATCTGATGAGTTTTATCCAAGTGCTATCTTTTCTGGACCACAGTTAATTCCAAGTTTGGGGGGGGTTATACCACCCACTTTGGATATTTGCGTCTCGGCCATTCTTTACCTTAGCTGCACTGGTATACCCTTTCCTTTGTTCTCTTTGCACATTGAGGACATTGTGCCATTTAAGTTTAGGGGTCATGGTGTTAACTGCAGTGTTTGCTTTTAATTCAAAATTTTAAGCATAACTTGTGTATTTGAGGGATTTTCTATAATTGGTCCATAACTAGCTGTGATTTTGATCTTTTGAGGACTAATAGGGTATTGGTTAACAATGGTTCGGTGGTAAATGTCATTCCAGCAACTACTTTAAAGAAATTGGGAAGACCATGGATGATGTGGTTCCAATCGACGTGGCCATCAGTGGTTTTATTGGGGGATCTAGTAGCACCAAAGGTATTCTGCCTTTGGAAATTACTATTAGTGGCAAGACATTCTTCACGGCCTTCTTTATCATTGACTCAACCGCGGCCTATAATCTCCTTTTAAGCCGAGATTGGATTCACCCTAACATGTGTATCCCGTCAACATTGCATCAAATGTTAATTTTTTGGGATGGAAATGAGGTAAAAATTGTTGAGGCCGATAATAAACCCTTTTATAGCTAGGGTGTATTTGGCCGAGGCTGCACTTTATGATGAAACTGTTGTACCTATCAAATTTGTTGGCACTAACAAGATGGGACGACCAGCAGCAGCAATAGTAAAGAAAAACTAGGTCAATACTGATATTGAAGAGTTATTGACAGAAGTAGTTCGGTCGAAAATTGATATTTTCAGGTCGACCATCAAGGAAATTGAAGACGTTTCTGATGGATCACACAACTAAAGAAGAAAAGAAGTGGCAAGCTTTCAGGGCCGCTTGCATAAGACTGAAAAGAGATTGGCCAGAGAAGAGCAGTTAAATGAAGAGTATCGGCCAGCACGATCGATATAGGTGAAGAAGGTTTTGAAAAGTTAGATGCAATCCAACTTGAAGATTCGGAGTCAACCCCTTCTAGGATGGAAGATAATAAAGCAGAGGTTCAAGATCTTTTATTTGAAATTAATGTTGGTACTGAAAAAGATCATTGGCCATTATTTGTTAGTGCTTTGCTTAAGCCTAAATTTCAGGCTAATTTGATCAATTTATTAAAGGAATATAAAGATTGTTTTGCTTGGAGTTATGAAGAGATGTCTGGCCAATCACGGGAGTTGGTAGAATATAGATTGCCTATCAAAAAAGATTTATATCCTTATAAACAACCACCAAGGAAGATGTCCTTAGAAGTGATGCTTAAAATAAAGGAAGAAATTGAAAAACTTCTTTAGGCAGAATTTATCCAAACGGTTAGGTATGTTGAGTGGTTGTCTAATGTTGTTCCTGTAATAAAGAAGAATGGCAAACTTAGGATTTGTGTAGATTTTCGCAATTTAAATAATGCCACTCCAAAAGATAAATATCCAATTCCAGTGGCCGATTAACTTATTGGTTCGGTTGCTAAGCATGAAATATTATCTTTTATGGATAACCATTTAGGTTATAATCAAATCTATATAGCCGAAGAGGATATTCCCAAAATAGCTTTTAGATGTCCTGGGTCAATTGGTACTTTTGGTGGGTTGTAATGCCATTCAGCCTGAAGAATGCAGGAGTTACTAATCAAAAGGCAATGAATTCAATCTTTCATGATATGATTGGTTGATTTATTGAAGTTTACATACTTGATGTAGTCGTGAAGTCATTGGCCAAAAAACAGCATTTGGAACATTTGAAAAAGGCTTTTGAAAGGATGAGAATCCACAAATTGAAAATGAACCCGTTAAAATGTGCTTTTGGGGTCTCAGCCGGGAACTTCTTGGGATTTTTGGTACATCAACGAAGCATAGAAGTTGATCAGAATAATGCCAAAGCTATTATAAATGCTATGACCCCAACCAATAAAAAATAGGTATGAAGGTTTCTCGGCCAGGTAGGTTTTCTTAGAAGATTTATTTCTAACCATGCTGGCCGAGTACATGCTTTTTCTCCTTTATTAAAATTGAAGTTACATGAAAATTTTCATTGGGATGAATCCCATTAAAAGGCCTTTGACAAAATAAAAGAATATTTGGCAAACCCCCCGGTAGTGATGCCTCCAAGGAAGAAATGGCCGTTGAAACTTTATTTATTGGCCGTAGAGGAATCAATTGGGAGTATGCTTGCTCAGAATAATGAACTTGGAAAGGAACAGGCTGTTTACTATTTAAGTATAGTACTAACTGATATTAAATGCAGATATTCTTCAATTGAGAAGCTTTATTTACCTTTGTATTATTCAGCCATGAAATTAAGGGTATATATGTGGCCGGTTGATGTCTACATTCTTTCTCAAACTAATATGATTAAATAAATGCTATCAAGGCCATTGATCAGTGGCCGAATAGGTAAGTGGGCATTGGCCTTGATGGAATTCAATTTTATTTTTATCCCACAAAAACCAGTTAAAGGAAGGGTTCTGGCTGATTTCGTGGCCGATTATCCTTCAACTAATATTGATCCACAGGTTTATGATGAACTAGAGTCATCAGCCATATTCCTAACTCCTTGGATATTGATGTTCGATGGATCAAGCACAGCCGATGGAGCTGGGGCAAGTATTGTTACCATTTCACCAGCCGAAAGAAAGACTTCATTTTCATTTTTCTTAGATTTTAAATGTTTAAATAATCAGGCTGAGTATGAAGCACTTATAATCGGCCTATAAATTTTAATTAAAATGGCTATTGGTGATGTAAAAATCTTAGGAGATTCAAACTTGGTACTTAGTCAAATTACTGAAGATTTCAAGTGCTTAAGTCGACAATTAAGGCCGTTTCACTCTCTGGCCACTTCATTGATGAATCAATTTGATAATGTTCAACTAAAGTTCTGGATAAGAGGACAGAATAAAAAGGCCAATAACATAGCCCAATCAGCTTCTGGAATCAGAGTACCAGTTGGAATGGAAGATCAGTTGATAAAAATAACACGAAAGACCTTGCCTTCGACAGAATTAAGAAATACTATGTTGGCCGATTCCTGGGTAATTGATATAGAAGATCTGGACGATGATGATTGGAGGATACCATTCATAATGTTTCTCCGAAATCCAAACATCAAGGCTGATAGAGGTATCAAGAGAAGAGCAATCAATTTTCTACTCTTTGATGGGGATTTATATAGAAAAGGACTTGAAAACGGACTTCTACTACAATGCATAAATAAAGAAGAGACACTTCAAGTTATGACTGAGGTACATGAAGGTAGCTGTGGAGCCCACTAAGCAGGAATTAAAATGAGATGGCTGATTCGAAGATATGGATATTATTGGCCAAGAATGAGAAAAGATTGCATAGATTATGCAAAAGGATGTCAGGCCTGTTAAAAACATGGGCCAATTCAAAATGGACCAGCAAAGAATTATAGCCAATAATCAAATTAAGCTGGGGCCTTGACCTCATTGGTAAAGTGAATCCACCATCAAGCAAAGGCCATCACTGGGTGATTATTGCCACAGATTATTTTACTAAGTAGGTTAAGGCCAAAGCTTGTAAAACGGTTGATCAACAAATAGTGATTAACTTCATGGAACAACATATTGTCCACAAATTTAGAATCCCAGAAACGCTTGTTTCAGACAACGCAATAGTGTTTAGGGCAGCTGATGTGCTACAATTCGGCCATAATATGAACATCCATATGTCAGCCTCTACACCATACTATGCCCAAGCAAATGGTCAGGTTGAGTCCTCAAACAAAATTTTGATAGAGATCATTGAAAAAATAATCAAAGATAAACCAAGAAGATGGCATGAGACTTTATCTGAGGCTTTATGGGCCTATAGAAATTCAAAAGAACAGGCACAGGAATCACACCATATATGTTAACTTATGGACATGATGTTGTTCTGCCTATGGAAATGAGGTTAAATCGGCCAGAGTTGCATTTCAAAATAATCTAACTCCGGCTGATTATACTCAAGCAATGTTGACAGAATTGGAAGACTTGGATGAAGTCAGGTTGGATGCTTTAGATTACATCATAGCTCACAAAAAGTAGGTAATGAGGATCTACAACAAAAGGGTAAAACCAAAGTCTTTTGCTGAAGAAGACTTAGTATGGAAAGTTATTTTGCCAATGGGTAAGGTTGATAGAATATATGGAAAGTGGTCCCATAAATGGGAAGGGCCATACTTAGTTCATCAAGTCCTAAGTGGAAGAGCATACAGGTTGAAGTATCTTAGTGGTCGATTGCATGATTACCTCATTAATGGCAAGTACCTCAAGAGGTATATGCCAGCAATCATTAAAAAGGAAAATTAAAGTCAACCAGTACCTTTGGCTGACCATGTGTACCTTTATGTAATAAATTTGACTTATTTATTAGGCTGACTTAGTTGTTTAAATTTTAATAAAAATTTTTGTTGAAATACTGATGTTTGTTTAAAACAACAAAGGAGGCCGTTTATTTATTGGAGTGTAAAAGCATTACATCATCTGAGTTCATACACTGAAATGGCCACAAAAAGGGTCCCATTGAAAAAAAACTTATATGTTTGCTAATTTCTCCTTGAAATCGGCCCAAATCATTAAGGACCAATTAAAGCAACCATGGCTTGTCTCTTTGACTCTTCTAATTTAGGTAACTCCCCACGAAGATTTGCATGCTCGTGAGCAAGGTCTTAAGCTTCAAACTGCAATGTGGCAGCCTCGGCAGACAAGATAGCCTTACGGGCAAGAATTTGGTCGATTTCTTGTTGAAGGATTCTCTCTTTTTCCTCAAGGCTGATGAATTCTTTGTTCACTCGGTCAACGGTAGAAGCTTGGGTTAACAACTGGTCACCAAGAGTATCCTTCCTACTTTTGCTCTTGTTAAACTGGTTGATCGATTCATTGGCCTGGAAAATTTCATCAGCCAAAGCTGGCAGTTGACCTTTGAAAGTAGCGATGGTGGCTTACAGGTCGACTGAGAAAGTTGAGTGTGGTAAGAACAGCCGTGAGTTCAGTTTCAAATTGTGGAAGATCAGCAGCATCTCTTTATAAAATCTCAACCAAAGCTTTTTTGGTTTCTTCCATGGTTTATATTGGGACACTGGCTGAAGAAACTAGAGTTGTTCCTGAAGATTCACTCTCTCTCTCCTCAGTTACTGCAGTTACCACATATTTTTAAAAATTAATTAAGGCCAGTAGAGAAGAAGTAGGGGCTTTTGGTGGAGGAAATGAATGAATAACTTGAGCTTTCTCATGCATAACCTGTCAATATGAAAAAGGTTAGATTTCTAAGTCTTGAAAAAAATAAAAAATAAAAAATAAATAAATAAAATTATAAGCATGAGGTAGACAATACTTTGGATGATTCGGCCATATCTTCATCCAAGGGTGGCTGATGGTTGATTACTGGTGCAAGAAACTCTGGTTGAAGAGCTGTACTGTCTCCTTGGGATGAAGCCTTGGTAGGAGTGACTTGAACATTTAAAGGTACTTCAGTAGGTTTATGAAAGTCCTTTAAAGGACTGAAGTTCCTGATTGGGCTATAAACCAAGTCAAGAAGAGGAGATTGTTGCCAAAAAAAAAGATCAATAAGGTTATTAAGAGTCATAAAGGGTGAAAATTTGTAAAGTTATCATTACCTCTTTTCCATCTGAGGAATGATCAGAACGATCATCAGCCACATTAACTACAGGGTCATCGGCTAATTCAATTGTAGGATCGTCAGCCACATCTTCTGTAGGCTGAGGCTTTTCTGGGTCCTCCTCAACCTCATGTTTCTTGCCTTTGTTAAATTTTGTCCTCTTTAGAGTCTCATGGGCAGTTGATTTCTTTCTTTTTCCCTGAAGAAGGAAGTTTTGTTAAAGATTGTCTCGACTGATAATAATTTTGGCCGAGAACTAGGTATTAATATTGGCCAAGTATTTTAGTAATACGGCCGACACGATTATCTTCGTAGGTTGATAAGTATAATCCTTTACCTTGCTTACAACTAGAGGGGCTGGAGGAATATCAAGAATGATGGTTGACTCAGTTTCTGTAGGCTGATGAGGTTGACTGGAGGAGATTTCATCATCTTGAAGTTCAACATCATTTCAGGCTGATAAAGTTTCATTGTCTGAATCTACAAAAAAGGTAAAAGATTTTAGCCCAAAAAATTCTTTAAAAATTCATATGTTGGAAAAAAAAGAAAAAAGGAAGAAGATTATATCTCTAAGCAAGCTAGCTGTGGCTTTAGCCGTAGCTTTTCTATCTTTGTTAATCCTTGTTGGAGTATCTGCTGGCTAAGAGAAAGGAAGTTTTTTAGCTGTTTGTTTCTTGCCTTTGGGAGGGTCTTTTTGAGGCACTTTCTTTGGAGTAACAGCCCGGGTAATCTTAAAAGCTCTTTCAAAGGCCACAGATATGAATTTAAATGATTCCATGATCTTAATAACAAAGGACTGGCACTCAGCCGTCTTAGTGGAAGTAATGTAGGAAGACCACCATTGGTCAAAACTGGAATCTGAGGCTGGATTCTTGATGAAAGGTTGGAATTTAAATCTAGCTTACAAATTAGAAAACCGAGTGGATACATTTTTAACATAAGACTCATCCAGGAATACCACACGTCAATGAAAGTTTTTGTTGAAAGACAGATAAGGAGGCATGGGAATCATTTGAGTTAGGTCGAATTGCCTAGCAAGCTGACTAGGGTTATAGAATTCAACCCTAACTTTTGAATTCAATGTCCTTAAAGGGCCAGTATTGAAATGAAGATCCTTTAGAATAAGAAAACTGGCCCACATGGCCGAAAGTTCATCAGTAGTCTTTTTTGTAGATACTCCTTGAGGAGGAGTCAGCCATCGAGGGGCTTGAAAACAATGAGAAAATGGAAGAAATTGGCTTATGGTCCTATACTCGCAGCTAGAATAGAAGAAATTGAAGCAATCTCCAAATGAGTGAGATTTGGGCACGGCCGATGCATAACTCACAGAAAGGAGTTGGTCATTAGCCGATGGCCTCACCACAGGCCTTAACTCAGGAAAGTATACTTATAGCCAAATTTGAAATAGCCAAAGGGGGGCACCATAACGTCCAAAGTTGGAAGTGAGCAAGTCATAAATTCCCCGGTATAAATGGGAAAGCACTAAAGGGGCTAGAACAAGGGTTTACCTCTAGAAAGAGCAACGACCACATGGATATATCCTTAGTAACTTGAAGGGTCAGCACACATAGGAGAAACTTATTCAGCCAGGCCAATAAAAAGGCAATATATTCGGCATCATTTATAGGAAGACGAGGGTCTATGGTAGAATTTAAATACTTACCATATGAAGACTCGGAGGATTTGGTTCCAGTTTGCTTAGAAGGGAAAATGGAAGGAGAATCCTCCTCTACCAATAAGCTAGTCACATCAATCCCAAAAGGCTTGAGGCTGGTTAAATAGCATATGTCTTGAATGTTTGGAGCTATCATGCCATACTTTAAGTGTAAGGAGTTGGTGGTGGTCGACCAGTTGAACATAGCCGCTATCATTAAAGTTTTGTCTTGAGCAATATTTGTATTGCTCAGTTGAATGGCATCATAAATACCACAAGTTTTCCATGTCTCTCATTTCACAGCCCCAACCCGATCGACCCAATTGATCCAAGCATCATTGGGAACATGCCATGTCCTAAAATGAAAATGTGACAAACTGCCATTTTCATTAGGAGGAAAAGTTTGAAGAAACGGAAGCACGTCGGCCGAAGGGTAAAATGGTGAAATAAATCCAAGGGCTTCATCTAGGAAGGCAGGGCCCAAGCCCTTAAAGTCAGTACGAAGATCTATGAGGGTATTGAGACAGTACTTATATGGAGAAAGGGTTTTCAAGGATTTCTCGATGATATTGCCGTGAGTCGAAGAGTCTGAAGGTTATGGAGCCGAGGTAGAATTGGTTAACTTCGTTTTCTTAGGAGCCGTGGAAGAATGTCAAAGGAAAGAATTGGGTTGCTGAGAGTTGAGAAAGGGAATTTCAGAGATTGCAATTTAAGGGAAGAAGAATGATTTTAGGAAAGAACACAGAACTAAATACTAGTGGTGAAATAGATATGCCCAATCATAGTTTTAATCGGGAATCGATAACCATTAAGGCAGGTGGTTGGGTGATTAAAAGAGTTATTACTGAAATTGTAAATTCAAGTTTGTGGCCGATTCAAATTCTAAAAGCTTCTTATCATGAATGACAAGAGCATTTGATATTCAGGGGGCATTTGTTGACACCAAAACTTGGCAGCCGCCTCAGCGGTGACATGGACCAGTGAGGAGCCGATAAG